TGGGGGGGAACGTTTTGAATAACCTTTTGGGGTTAATTTTTAAACTACATTATTATTGATAATAAGAATACGCATAACAATAACATAATATTTTTGTCAGTGTTTATTATGATTTTAATGGCAAAGCAGAAAAATCAAAATATGAGGTAAACTCCCAGCAGAGCCCCAAGTCCAATGGGTATATCCTCTGGCATGTTGATGTTAATGTGTTGATGTTCTCCATATCCATACCCAGAATTATTTTGCAGTGGATGGTGATTGAACAGGTTTCCTTTTTAAATTCATCAGAGGTGTAGGGAGGGTGAAGTCTGTGAATCCAAAAAGTAGTAATTATACAGATGTTTAACAAAACATGCACACGACAGTATTCATACCTTGGTTTTTGTGTTAAATGTGAATGAAAAACTGTTTTAATAATGGTTTTCATACACATACCTTGTCCATAATGTAGAAGCCTATGGGATATTTATTGAAGAGGTAAGGGAGGAGGATGGTAAATGTGATCTGCATAACATATCAATACCAATTTGACATACCTTTGTATGCCTCCTCGTCTGTATACCTGCAGACACCGACACAAAAGTGAGCAGTTCAGTCATCTGCACCCAATACAGCTAGCCTTCAACATATTCTTATAGCATACATATTCTTACCTCTTTGTTGATTGATATCCTATGAATTGTGTCCATTTTCTGTTTTAGAAAGATTTGCACAAATATGAAAAGATTGTGTCATCATAAAACAATATCAATTTAGATCATATAAGGGACAAACCTTATCTTAAATTGAGGAAATATTAACCTTTTCAGTTTAGTGCCTGCACCTGCTGTCCTTTCAAATTCAAATCCAAATGTTTCAGTTGGTCAGTTAGGTTCTTGGAAGAACCTTTTGGGGGCCATTTTCAGTGCCAAGAACCCTAAGGTTCTTCAAAGAACTTTGAGGATCTTAGAAGAACACTTGTTGAACCCATACATTTTTGAGTGTAGATAGATGAGGAAAAAACGATTTAATCAATTTTAGAATAAAGCTATAACGTAACAAAATGTAGAAAAAGTCAAAGGGTCTGAATACTTTCCAAAAGCAGTATGTACAGTCGTGGTCAAAAGTTTTGAGAATGACACAAATATTAATTTTCACAAAGTCTGCTGCCTCAGTTTTTATGATGGCAATTTGCATATACTCCAGAATGTTATGAAGAGTGATCAGATGAATTGCAATGAATTGCAAAGTCCCTCTTTGCCATGAAGTTGAACTTAATCCCCCAAAAAACATTTCCACTGCATTTCAGCCCTGCCACAAAAGGACCAGCTGACATCATGTCAGTGATGCTCTCGTTAACACAGGTGAGTGTTGACGAGGACATCACTCTGTCATGCTGATTGAGTTAGAATAACAGACTGGAAGCTTTAAAAGGAGGGTGGTGCTTGAAATCATTGTTCTTCCTCTGTTAACCATGGTTACCTGCAAGGAAACATGTGCCGTCATCATTGCTTTGCACAAAAAGGGCTTCACAGGCAAGGATATTGCTGCTAGTAAGATTGCACCAAAATCAACCATTTATCGGATCATCAAGAACTTCAATGAGAGAGGTTCAATTGTTGTGAAGAAGGCTTCAGGGCGCCCAAGAAAGTCCAGCAAGCGCCAGGACTGTCTCGGGATCAGGGCACCACCAGTGTAGAGCTTGCTCAGGAATGGCTGCAGGCAGGTGTGAGTGCATCTGCACGCACAGTGAGGCAAAGACTTTTGGAGGAAAGCCTGGTGTCAAGAAGGGCAGCGAGGAAGCCACTTCTCTCCAGGAAAAACATCTGGGACAGACTGATATTCTGCAAAAGGTACAGGGATTGGACTGCTGAGGACTGGGGTAAAGTCATTTTCTCTGAATCCCCTTTCCGATTGTTTGTGGGCTCACTCACAATTTTGCCTAAGAACACAACCATGAATAAAGAATGGTACCAACACATCCTCCGAGAGCAACTTCTCCCAACCATCCAAGAACAGTTTGGTGACGAACAATGCCTTTTCCAGCATGATGGAGCACCTTGCCATAAGGCAAAAGTGATAACTAAGTGGCTCGGGGAACAAAACATCGACATTTTGGGTCCATGGCCAGGAAACTCCCCAGACCTTAATCCCATTGAGAACTTGTGGTCAATCCTCAAGAGGCGGGTGGACTAACAAACTCCAAGCATTGATTATGCAAGAATGGGCTGCCATCAGTCAGGATGTGGCCCAGAAGTTAATTGACAGCATGCCAGGGCAGATTGCAGAGGTCTTGAAAAAGAAACGTAATGTAATTGTCAATAAAAGCCTTTGACACTTATGGAATGCTTGTAATTATACTTCAGTATACCATAGTAACATCTGACAAAAATATCTAAAAACACTGAAGCAGCAAACTTTGTGAAGACCAATACTTGTCATTCTCAAAATGTTAGACCACGACTGTATTACATTTGAGTCATTTAGCAGACGCTCTTATCCAGAGTGACTTACAGTTAGTGAGTGCATATATTTTCATACTGGCCCCGTGGGAAACGAACCCACAACACTGGTGTTGCAAGCGCCATGCTCTACCAACTGAGCTACAGGGGACTGTATGTATGTATGCATGTATGCATACACACAGTGCCTTCAGAATGTATTCAGACCCCTTTACTTTTTCCACATTTTATGTTACAGCCTTATTCTAAAATGTATTAAATAAATAAAAATCCTCATTAATTGACACACAATACCCCATAATGACAAAGCAAAAACAGGTTTTTAGACATTTTTACAATACATAAGTGTTCAGACCCTTTACTCAGTACTTTGTTGAAGCACCTTTGGCAGCGATTACAGCATTGAGTCTTCTTGGGTATGACGCGACAAGGTTGGCACACCTGTGTTTGGGGAGTTTCTCCCATTCTTCTCTGTAGATCCTCTCAAGCGTTGTCAAGTTGGATGGGGAGCGTTGCTGCACAGCTGTTTTCAGGTCTCTCCAGAGATGTTTGATGGGGTTCAAGTCCGGGCTCTGGCTGGGCCACTCAAAGACATTCAGAGACTTGTCCTGAAGCCACTCCTGCGTTGTCTTGGCTGTGTTCTTAGGGTTGTTGTCCTGTTGGAAGGTGAACCTTCACCCCAGTCTGAGGTCCTGAGCGCTCTGGAGCAGGTTTTCATGAAGGATCTCTCTGTACTTTGCCTCAATCCTGACTAGTCTCCCAGTCCCTGCCGCTGAAAAACATCCCCACAGCATGATGCTGCCACCACCATGCTTCACCGTAGGGATGGTGCCAGGTTGCCTCCAAACATGACGTTTGGCATTCAGGCCAAAGAGTTCAATCTTGGTTTCATCAGACCAGAGAATCTTGTTTCTCATAGTCTGAGAGTCTTTAGGTGCCTTTTGGAAAACTCCAAGCGGGCTGTCATGTGCCTTTTACTGAGGAGTGGCTTCCGTCTGGCCACTCTACCATAAAGGCCTGATTGGTGGAGTGCTGCAGAGATGGTTGTCCTTCTGGAAGTTTCTCCCATCTCCACAGAGGAACTCCAGAGCTCTGTCAGTGACCATCGGGTTCTTGATCGCCTCCCTTACCAAGGCCCTTCTCCCCCGATTCCTCAGTTTGGCCGGGCGGCCAGCTCTAGGAAGAGTTTTGGTGGTTCCAAACTTGGAGGCCACTGTGTTCTTGGGGACCTTCAATCCTGTGTCGGAGGTCTACGGACAATTTCTTCGACCTCATGGCTTGGTTTTTACTCTGACATGCACTGTCAACTGTGGGACCTTATATAGACAGGTGTGTGCCTTTCCAAATCATGTCCAATCAATTGAATTTACCACAGGTGGACTCCAATCAAGTTGTAGAAATATCTCAAGGAAGATCAATGGAAACAGGATGCACCTAAGCTCAATTTCGAGTCTCATAGCAAAGGGTCTGAAAACGTATGTAAATAAGGTATTTCTGTTAGCTAAAATGTGGGGTATTTTGTGTAGATTGCTGAGGATTTTAAAAATATTTAATCCATTTTAGGATAAGGCTGTAACGTAACAAAATTTGGAAAAAGTCAAGGGGTCTGAATACTTTCCGAAGGCACTGTATATACACTTTCACATTCCTTATATTAAGCAAACCAGACGGCACACTCAGACATCATTTACAAACTATGCATTTGTGTTTAGTGAGTCCGCCAGATAAGAGGCAGTAGAAATGACCAGTGATGTTCTCTAGATACAGTAAGTGTGTGAATTGGATTTTACTGTCCTGCTAAGCATTCAAAATGTAACTTACTTTTTGGTGTCATGGGAAATGTGTAGAGTAAAAAGTACATTATTTTCTTTAGAAGTGTAGTAAAAGTTGTCAAACATAAATAGTAAAGTACAGATACCCCAACAAACGACTTAAGTAGTACTTTACACCACTGATAGTGCAGCAAAAGGTGAGCGTGGCAGATGGAACAACTGTCACATAAAGAGGATTTGATGAGGAGACATTCATGAAGCAGAGTGAATTTTCAACATTATGGTCTATCGGCTAATTTGTCATGATTTAATCAGCCTAAACTAGAACAAATTATGCATTTAAGTAAAGCAGGCACTTTATGTCTGTAAGGTAATCAGATAGTATCGCGACAACCCTAGTTTGAAGACTATGATACCAGATTTTCCATGACAAAACACTAATTAGACTAAACTCTATGGTCCTATAAAAACCTACTTTATGTAAAATGGTGGGTGCTATAGCTTGCAAAATAAACAAATGTGACTCTAGGTGACAACAATGCTGTTTCTAACATTAGGACTGTTTTCCTCCAGAAATTAAATCCGCTTCATGTTTTGTTTCCTTTCCACACTACTTCTGAGTATCACGATACTGGAATTGTGACCACCCTACTTCAGACTGAGCAATATTATGGCTGGCATACATGAGTTACCTTTTCCTGTTTCTTTTACAGTAAACATATTTCTTCCAGCTGTTTATAATAAATGAATGAGGAACTTGTGTAGCCTAATCCTCTTATGTAGAGATATGAATGACAGGCTCCAGTTCAGCATAAGGTCAGTGTTTTTGGAGGCTCTGTTTGTTTGGTCAAATTCAAGATTAGCCAGTTTACGTCTCCTCTCAAATGTTTTTATTCTATCCACAACTTTCATTGTACCTCACACGGACAAATAGAAAGCCATAGTTATACACACAAAAGTGTGAAGGGAAGTGCTACAAGAGAGGATACGACAGCTTTGTCTGTTGTTCCTAGAGGACAAAGCTTTTATCAGGCACTCTATTTACATATCACACAATGAAGCTTCTCAGAGGTGTCCCATGACTCCCTGTTTCCTTTTGCTATTGTAGAATGTAGAACTGATTACTCTGACAGATACTAGTTACTGTAAACTATGTTAGGAATGTTGTTAGAAATTATTCTCAATTAACAATAGTATTTAGTTAGTTGTATTTGGGATGGTTTGATAAATGGACTTCTCGGGACAGTCAAATGCAATTGAGTCATCACTTGACTCATGTCTTTATCACTCCTGTTTCAGCCCTGCAGTCTTTCTCCGGTACGCCGGCACGATGCGTGCATTCTCCCGCCATCACACCCTTCCCTTTAAGCTTGCCATTCTAGCGGGTTCCCTCTTCCTGGTCCTGCTGCTCGTCATGCAGTACGACGTGGGAGGTGGGATTTCGCCTGAACCCTGGCTCCGGGAGCTGTCGAACAAACAGTCACAGGTGATGGGTGTGGTCAGAGGTGCTGTGTCAAACATGGGATTTCAGATCGGTGCCCCCCTGCCCCCTCCCTCAGAGCCTGAGACTAACCCCTTTGATCCCCGCTGTCCACCCGGGTTCTACAGCAGAGATGAGCTTCAACCTCACCTGGATAGGCCCCTACAGGACCCAGAGGGCCCCGGGGCCTACGGCCGACCATTTGTGATGGGCAGGATGACCTCTGCAGAGATTAAAGAGAAGCAGGATGGGCTGACCAAAAATTGTTTCAACCAATTTGCCAGCGACCGTATCTCCCTGCACCGCAGCCTGGGTAATGACACGCGCCACCCAGAGTGAGTACAGGGGGACTGAAAGAAAGCTAGTTTGGAGTGATATGTACAGTATGTCCATATACAGTGCATTCAGAAAGTATTCAGACCCCTTGACTACTTCCACATTTTGTTACGTTACAGCCTTATTCTAAAATGGATTAAGTAGTTTTTTTTTTTTTTCCCCTCATCAATCTACACACAATACCCCACAATGACAAAGAAAGCAAAAACAGGTTTTTAGAAACGGAAATGTTACATTTACAAAAGTATTCAGACCCTTTTCTCACTACTTTGTTGAAGCCCCTTTGGCAGAGATTACAGCCTCGATTCGTCTTGGGTATGACGCCACAAGCTTGGAACACCTGTGCTTGGTGTACACACAAGACCTCATAATGACAAAGCGAAAAGAGGTTTTTGGATTTTTTTTGCACATTTTATGAAAAATAAGTTCTTTACATAAGTATTCAGACTCTTTGCTATGAGACTCAATCTCCCATTCTTCAAATAAAATGTTATTTGTCACGTGCACCGAATACAACCGGTGTAGACCTTACCATGAAATGCTTACTTACAAGCCCTTAACCAACAATGCAGTTCAAGAAATAGAGTTAAGAAAATATTTACTAAATAAAATAACGAGGCTATATACAGGGGGTACCGAGTCAATGTGCGGGGGTACAGGTTAGTCGAGGTAATTTGTACATGTAGGTAGGGGTAAAGTGACTATGCAGAGATAATAAACAGCGAGTAGGAGCAGTGTAAAAACAAAGGGGGGGAGGGGGGTTAATGTGAATAGTCCGGGTGGTCATTTTATTAATTGTTCAGCAGTCTTATGGCTTAGGGGTACAAGCTGTTAAGGAGCCTTTTGGTCCTAGACTTGGCTCTCCGGTACCGCTTGCCGTGCGGTAGCAGAGAGAACAGTCTATGACTTGGGTGGCTGGAGTCTTTGACACTTTTTGGGGCCTTCCTCTGACACCGCCTAGTATATAGGTCCTTGATGGCAGGAAGCTTGGACCCAGTGATGTACTGGTCTGTACGCACTACCCTCTGTTGCGCTTACGGTCAGATGCCGAGCAGTTGCCATACCAGGCGGTGATGCAACCGGTCAGGATGCTCTCGATGGTGCAGCTGGATAACTTTTTGAGGATCTGGGGACCCATGCCAAATCTTTTCAGTCTCCTGAGGGGGGGAAAAGGTGTTGTCGTGCCCTCTTCACAACTGTCTTGGTGTGTTTTGGACCATGATAGTTTGTTGGTGATGTGGACACCAAGGAACTTGATACTCTGCAGATCCTCTCAAGCTCTGTCAGGTTGGATGGGGAGCGTCACTGCACAGCTATTTTCAGGTCTCTCCAGAGATGTTCGATCAGGTTCAAGTCCAGGCTCTGGCTGGGCCACTCAAGGACATTCAGAGACTTGTCCAGAAGCCACTCCTGAGTTGTCTTGGCTGTGTGCTTAGGGTCGTTGTCCTGTTGGAAATTGAACCTTCGCCCCAGTCTGAGGTCCTGAGCGTTCTGAATAAGTTTTTCATCAAGGATCTCTCTGTACTTTACTCTGTACGTTCATCTTTACTCTGTACGTTCATCTTTCCCTCAATCCTGACTAGTCTCCCAGTCCCTGCTGTTGAAAAACATCCCCACAGCATGATGCTGGCACCACCATGCTTCACCGTATGGATGGTGCCAGGTTTCCTCCAGAAGTGACACTTGGCATTCAGGCCAAAGAGTTCAATCTTGGTTTCATCAGACTAGAGAATCTTGTTTCTCATAGTCTGCCAAAAGGCAACTGAAGGACTCTCAATCTCCAAGTGGGCTGTCATGTGCCTTTTACTGAGGTGTGGCTTCCGTCAGGTCACTTTACCATAAAGGCCTGCTTTGGTGGAGTGTTGCAGAGATGGTTGTCCTTCTGGAAGGTTCTCCCATCTCCACAGAGGAACTCTGGAGCTCTGTCAGTCACCATTTGAGTTCTTGGTCACCTCCCTGACCAAGTCCCTTCTCCCCTGATTACTCAGTTTGGCCAAGTGGCCAGCTCTAGGAAGAGTCTTGGTGGTTCCAAACTTCTTCCTTTTTAAGAATGATGGAGGCCACTGTGTTCTTCAATGCTGCAAAAATGTTTTGGTACCCTTCCCCAGATCTGTGCCTAGACACAATGTCTCGGAGCTCTACGGACAATTCCTTTGACCTCGTGGCTTGGGTTTTGCTCTGACGTGCACTGTCAACTGTGGGACCTTATATATAGACAGGTGTGTGCCTTTCCAAATCATGTCCAATCAATTGAATTTACCTCCTATCAAGTTGTAGAAACATCTCATGGATGATAAGTGGGAACAGGATGCACCTGGGCTCAATTTCGAGTCTCATAGCAAAGGGTCTGAATACTTATGTAAAGAACGTATTTTTTATAAATGTGCAAAACAATTCTAAAACCTGTTTTCACTTTGTCATTATGAGGTATTGTGTGTAGATTGAGGGGAAAAAAAAGTAATTTTAATACATTTTAGAATAAAGCTGTAATGTAATGTAACGTGGTGAAAAAAGGGAAGGGGTCTGAATACATTCTGAATGCACTGTATATGGATGATGTTTATAATCCATCCATATGTTGTGTACAATCGAAGCTCATCTAGCAGATCCCTTGGAGAATAGCCACTTTGTTGTCTTTGACAGTTGTGTGGGTCAAAGGTTCCGGCACTGCCCTCCTCTCCCCACCACCAGTGTGATCATTGTGTTCCACAATGAGGCATGGTCCACCCTCCTGCGGACCGTTTATAGCGTCCTGCACACTGCCCCTGCCTCCCTGCTCACAGAGATATTACTGGTGGATGATGCTAGCACAGATGGTGAGTGCGGTATGAAAGGTGTTGTAAGCCTGACTGAAAGTGACAGACTTGTCGTGACGTGACTTTCATTATTGTGATGTCTATTATTTATCTAATAATTACATTTTTACATTGACATTTTAGTCATTTAGCAGACGCTCTTATCCAGAGCGACTTACATGAGCAATTAGGGTTAAGTGCCTTGCTCAAGGGCACATCGACAGATTTTTCACCTAGTCTGCTCGGAGATTAGAACCAGCGACCTTTCGGTTACTGGCACAACGCTCTTAACCACTAAGCTACCTACTATGTTTAATTGTTACTAGATTAAATTAATCATGTATCAATTAAATGGTTAGGAATTTGCGGCACCACGGGAAAAGTTGTTTAACGAGTTACCGTTTCCCGAATTAACTCTAAAGATATCTAGATATCGTTTATCATTTAAGAGTCATTTATTAATAATTTACCTCATCAGTCTCATTCTGAAAGTCAGACTCTTTAAGTCTGCACGAACCCGGTTCTTACTGATCAAATTGATTTAATTACTAATTAAAAATGATAACACAAGATACAAACACGTACACGGTATAGGTAGGGATTAGAAACTTAATACAATGAAAACGGGTCCCTAGCGGACTAACACAATATGACACTTGTTACAAAAGATGGCGAGTTAAAGAGAGAGAACACTTGGATACACATGGACCTACGCTCACAGTAATCCTAATACTTTGCCCCGAACTGCTGCCCGTTTGGGAAGAAAAGCCATGCATGTATTTATAGTGGCTTGCGAATGTATTCACCCCCCTTGGCATTTTTCCTATTTTGTTGCCTTACAACCATAATAATAATATGCCATTTAGCAGACGCTTTATCCAAAGCGACTTAGTCATGCGTGCAAACATTATTATTATTTTTAATTTTTTTGTATGGGTGGTCCCAGGGATCGAACCCACTACCTTGGCGTTACAAGCGCCGTGCTCTACCAGCTGAGCTACAGAGGACCACCCATACTTTGAATTAAAATATATATTTTTTTTGGGGGGGGGGGTTGTATCATTTGATTTACACAGCATGCCTACCACTTTGAAGATGCAAAATGTTTTTTGGTGCGAGACAAACAAGAAAAAAACTGAACTTGAGCGTGCATAACTATTCACCCCCCCCCCCCAAAGTCAATACATTGTAGAGCCACCTTTTGCAGCAATTACAGCTGCAAGTCTCTTGGGGTATGTCTCTCTAAGCTTGGCACATCTAGCCACTGGGATTTTTTCCCATTCTTCAACGGCAAAACTGCTCCAGCTCCTTCAAGTTGGATGGGTTCCGCTGGTGTACAGCAATCTTTAAGTCATACCACAGATTATCAATTGGATTGAGGTCTGGGCTTTGACTAGGCCATTCCGAGACATTTAAATGTTTCCCCTTAAACCACTCGAATGTTGCTTTAGCAGTATGCTTAGGATCATTGTCTTGCTGGAAGGTGAACCTCTGTCCCAGTCTCAAATCTCTGGAAGACTGAAACAGGTTTCCCTCAAGAATTTCCCTGTATTTAGCGCCATCCATCATTCCTTCAATTCTGACCAGTTTCCCAGTCCCTGCCGATGAAAAACATCCCCCAGCATGATGCTGCCACCACCATGCTTCACTGTGGGGATGGTGTTCTCGGGGTGATGAGAGGTGTTGGGTTTGCGCCAGACAAAGCGTTTTCCTTGATGGCCAAAAAGCTCAATTTTAGTCTCATCTGACCAGAGTACCTTCTTCCATATGTTTGGGGGAGTATCCCACATACCTTTTGGCGAACACCAAACGTGTTTGCTTATTATTTTCTTTAACAATGGCTTTTTTCTGGCCACTCTTCCATAAAGCCCAGCTCTGTGGAGTGTACGGCTTAAAGTGGTCCTATGGACAGATACTCCAATCTCCACTGTGAAGCTTTGCAGCTCCTTCAGGGTTATCTTTGGTCTCTTTGTTGCGCCTCTGATTAATGCCCTCCTTGCCTGGTCCGTGAGTTTTGGTGGGGGGCCCTCTCTTGGCAGGTTTGTTGTGGTGCCATATTCTTTCAATTTTTTAATAATGTATTTAATGGTGCTCCGTGGGATGTTCAAAGTTTCTGATATTTTTTTTATAACCCAACCCTGATCTGTACTTCTCCACAACTTTGTCCCTGACCTGTTTTGGAGAGCTCCTTGGTCTTCATGTTGCCGCTTGCTTGGTGGTGCCCCTTGCTTAGTGGTGTTGCAGACTCTGGGGCCTTTCAGAACAGGTGTGTATATATACTGAGATCATGTGACAGTTAGATTGCACACAGGTGGACTTTATTTAACAAATTATGTGACTTCTTCTGAAGGTAATTGGTTGCACCAGATCTTATTTAGGGGCTTCATAGTAAAGGGGGTGAAGACATATGCACGCACCACTTTCCGCTATTTATTTTGTAGAATATTTTGAAACAAGTAATTTTTTTCACTTCCACTATTTTGTGTATGTCCATTACATGAAATCCAAATAAAAATCTATTTAAATTACAGGTTGTAATGCAACAAAATAGGAAAAACTCCAAGGGGGATGAATACTTTTGCAAGGCATTGTATGTGTTGGAGGTCTTTGTTGTGTATCTCTGTTGGACCCAGGCCTTTGTGGGAAGGGGTCGATTGGGCCTTCTCTTCAGATGGCCTTTTAGATGTAAGGCTCAGATTGTCCACAATGTCCTTCTTAGTTGTCTGTTTACTTTCACTCGTTCTGGAAGTGGTCTTCTGAGGATGGCTAATCAGCCATGTCGATTATCCCCTGTGGGGTGATGAGAGCAGTGTAGTAGACGATGGCTTGAAGAGAGTAACAGGATGGTCCCACTTAAATTCACTTTCTTAGATACAGTACTTAGAACAGCTACTCAGCCGTAACATTGATTGTTAGTGGAGGCAACTTTGTCGTCTTCACCTCGTGTTGATTTTCAGGATCGGGACCAATATGGACAAAAGCTGCAGCTTGAGGTCTGTCTAGTCTGATCTGATAATTCTTATCTCAATATTTTATGCACTCTGGTAAAGAGGGGCGTTTCCGTCATACTGACACGCTCTCTGAGCTCCCTCGGGCGTGGCTAGTTACGAGGCAAAAGTATTATTATCACTATGATCTTGTTAGAAAGCTAAAATCACATTCCTATCTTCACGAAAACATTGTCTTCCTCCTTGATATTTTCTACACAAGGTAAAGGATGTAAGCCTGATATACACAGTGTAAAAGCTCTTCAAGTCAATGTTTTTGTTATAATGCCTTTATACTATTTTTAATGACATCTCAAAATAGACATTTATTTTCCATATTCCATTTCTCATCATTCCCAATGTTTGGATGTTGAAATATATTGTCCCAATGTTCATTATTGGATGTTGAAGTTTTTGGGCGGCAAAAAGTCTCTGAAACAAAGGCATTCTTTTCACCCATACTAGAATGCCAGAGAGATTCTCCTCCTCTCTAATTTATGGCAGTATTAAGGTGTCAAGACCGGCACAGCCCCCCTGTGGGTAAGATTCTGCAAGTTTGCAACCCACCATAAAATAAATGACCACGGGATGTCCTGCTTGTGGATCATCGTTGCGGGCCCGTCGTCCGGTTGTCCAGGCTGGTAGATCTAGGCAGTAACTTACACAGACGTTAACAACGCACAACACTCAAGCAATACATCATTACATTTCTTCCCCAAATGGGCGGCGTTGTGGCACTAACTGGTGGTCGTATGGGGAACTTGTTTGTGGCAATATCACTTCCTTAGTGTCAAAGGAAATACAAAATCAAAGAATAAAAACACAACAAAATATAGTTCCCCACCTTAATCATCTACTTGGACTCTTATTCTATGTACGCCCATGGTCTTGGTTAAATGACTCTATCATGACATTTGTCTGTCATATCTAGGGCGATCCTACTTGAAGGGGGGTAGTTAAGGTGCTCTCTAAATGGCATGCTCAATGACAAAGCTTCCATTGGTGGCACTACAGGGCTGACCTAACGAACTCTGGGGAAGAAGCTGGGGATGCTGTGGATGGGTCACCTGATGGGGTTTTGGAATCTATTGCCAGTTTTCTGAAAATCGGGATTGCTTTCGTCCCATAGGTGATCCTAGCATAAGACCTCATTAGGTCTTCCATTGCGCGTGTGCGCCTGTGTACATAGTAGGTGCACACGCCAAGGGCAATAAAACCAAGGATCATGGTAAGACAAGGATACTGTCCGGCACCGTCCAAGAGCGGGTGACAGACCAATCTTTTGTCTTTATAGCCAATCGGGTCAACTAAAAGTGCCTCATTCAGTATGCTAAGTTCAACAGTCATTGGTCCCTCGTACTGAATTTGGTGGTAACTCAAGGGAACGTTTAGCAAAAGCGTCAGGCATTTCAATATCTGTGTCTATCCTGTCGTCAGGAAATTGGTATAGGGCTAGGTCGTCTGTGGATAATCGCCCTCTCTCGTACCTTAACAAAAATTGTCTGATTGGGGAGGTTCAGTTGGGTGGTTGAGTCATGGCGTTTGTAAGTCATAGTGGCGGACGTGACTGGGGTGTTAATCAGCCATTGATTCCCTACTACTTCCACTTGCGTGGTGGTGACTCCACCTCTTGCTGTTAGTTTGGCTCTACAGCGTTCTTCGCTGGTGACAGTCTTAAGGCCACAAAGGCGCTCAGTGTTATCCCTGCCAAAGGGTTTGCTAGGACACAAGTAGGGGTGAGATAGAAATCTGGATTGTGTTCCTGATAAGCTACGACTGGAGGTGTGATGATTTTCACATGGGTGTTGTCGCGCCAAAATCCTACGTTTACAACTGTTTTCAACCTATAGATATTCTCCAGTTCAACAACCGGCAGCGTCAGTAAAAATCCCACTTCATTTCGATTAACATCAACGTGTATTGGAATTTCAGACCCCAAACTATAGGCCAGGTGTGACTGTAATGGCTTTATCATGGTTATGGTAGCTGAGGTCAATATGTTGTGCACCATTGAGAAGGACACTAGATATGAGGGGATTCTATTCATGGACAAGTGGTCCATAGAAGAGCTAACTTCAAGGAGAAAATCCTCCAACAACAATCGAACCAATTGGACATGGGCAATAGTCATGGTTCATGACCGACAGGATGATTTTTGTTCAGGAGAGTAGCGTGTGTGTTTACCACCAGAATAGTGTCCTGGAGAGACCTTCCCACATACTGCCACCTGAGTGCCTGTGATTGCATCTGTTGCTGGATAAGTGGCATCTCTTCAGTAATCTCCCTAACATTTATTTTGACCATGGCTAGACTGCGTTGACGGCAGTGGTACCTAGAGCAAATAGTGACCCTACGGCTGCACCTATTGAGAGTAGCGCCCCGAGGAATCGTTTTTCTCGCCTGGGCTCTGCTAGTTCTGACAGGGTGACTGTGAACTTTTGGAGTTAGGCCAACATGTGGGCAGTGTCTAGCTGAGCGTGCTTAACTGCCTGGGTGGTCCAGTCAGCCCCGGCCCAACTCATATGTGCCGCAGGGGAAATGTGTTGGCGGTACATGTTCTCTGCATCTAGGACGTACACCCTCTGCGTGTGTACTCTGCAGTTGGTTATAAGGAGTCCTGGATCATCACGGAGAACGATTCCCGTAGGGGGTCCACTCGTGAGTACATCTGCTGGGTTGGTTTTGACCAGGGAGCAGATTGTCAGTATCATCCAAAGGATATTGTTTGATTATTTGTTGTTTTGTTAGTTTTTTTGAAAGAAAATCAAATGTAGCTGATTTTCCTATTTTGAACAGCACAACGCAGGACAATATCAACAATGACAACGAAATGTGTGTCTTGTAGCTGGGAAGAGAAGAAAAGATGTTAGGTGCAATGTACTGACCTCCTGGAAGGGATCAGCTGAGGATACTTAAAAATGTTGTTAGTACCTCTGATTGGCTAGGTTTCTATCCATTCGGGACTGTACAACTTGATTTGGTTCCTGTGGACCCACTTGAACGTGATGTTCTGTCGACCTTTGCTGATTCTGATTTGATAAGCAACAGGTGACAGCTTTAACACAATCTCATGTGGCCCTGTCCAGTGGGGCAGGAACTTTTTCACAATGGCCACGGGTTTGGTGTATACGTAGTAACACCGTATCCCCGACCTCAAACTCCTGGTGTGAGGCCTTTTTGTCGTAATGGGTCTTGTCACCTTCCAAACTTCTTTCCAACTTTCCTTGAGCGTACGCAAAGGTAGTCTGGAGGTGGGTTCGCAAGTCCATCACACATTGATGGGCCGTGTACGCGGCGACATCTCCCGGTTGGTACAGGAGATGCAGTGGAAGCGTCATTTGCCGGCCCGTCATCTCAAATGGTGTTATTCACATAGACATGTTGTGTGTGGCTCTGATCGCCCTCAATACGAGTGGGAGTTTGAGGTCCCAATCTTTGTGGTTGGCTGCCACATATTTCCTCAAGATTGTGACGATTGTTTGGTTGCTCCTTTCTACCCTGCCGGAGCTCCAAGGGTGGTACGCGATGTGGAGTTTAGCTTTGACTCCCAGGAGCCGCCACAGCTCGGTCATTACAGCAGCCGAAAAATGGGTTCCTCTGTCGCTGTCCACGGTTGCTCCTGGCAGGCCGAAACGACTGAAAATGTGGTTGAGCAAAAGAACGGCCGTGGTTTCCGCTGTGTCATTGGGTGCGGGCAGGCACTCCACCCACTTTGTGAATGCGCAAATCACTGTGAGGAGATAATTGTTGCCTCTTGCCGACCTGGCAACTGGGCCGACCCAGTCGTTCTGGATCGAGCTCCAAGGGTAAGACACTGCAAGGGTGCTCTGAAGTGGCTTGGAGGGTTGAAACTGGCAGCAAACTAGACACCCCTTCACGTATTTTGCCAAGTCTTGTTCCATGTGAGCAATCTTTCACATGTAGCCTTGACCCCCCTATGGTCCCCACATGGCTCGTCGTGGTCATGAGCTATCATTATCCCCCTCTGTGTTTTAGGAACCACCCACCCCTTTGTGTGTCGTCGGTTTCTGAAACATAAACCAGTTGGTCATCTACAAGTGTGAGGTGCTGTTTAGTTACGGACAGCGAACGCAAGTCGTGTGAGCCTGCCAAAGCCAGCTCGGACCCTGGGTGATTGATAGGATCAGACAAAGACAGAGAGATTCTCCTCCTCTCTAGTTTATGGCAGTATTAAGGTGTCAAGTCCGGCACAGCCCCCTGTGGGCAAGAGGGTCTGGTTGTTGTCGGCCATTTGCTGATGTGAGGCCTTTGATCCTCACGCAGGGAGAGTCATGACACTGTCCTGGCACAGACCTTTAAGACTTTACATAAACGTTTGATAAGAGCATTTGCAAATGGGAACACATGGGTTATTACCCTACTGCTCTCTTGTACCTCTCCACAGTGACATTTATAGAACAATGCCAGAGTTTATATTATAAACTGGGTGGTTCGAGCCCTGAATGCTGATTGGCTGACAGCTGTGGTATATCAGACCGTATACCACGGGTATGACAAAACCATTTATTTTTACTGCTCTAATTACGTTGGTAACCAGTTTATAATAGCAATAAGGCACCTCAGGGGTTTGTGGTATATGGCCAATATACCACGGCTAAGGGCTGTATCCGGGCACTCCGCGTTGCGTCGTGCTTAAGAACAGCCCTTAGCCGTGGCATATTGGCCAAATACCACACCCTGCTCGTGCCTTATTGCTTAAATAACTCCCAGTAGCAATTATCTCAGTAGAATACATATCTACCTCAGTGGATTGATGTAATCCAGCTGCATTTTACCATCCTCATGCAATGGTTTTCAGATCACCTGAAGTCTCGTCTGGATGAGTATGTCCTGCAGCTGAAGATTGTGCGTGTGCTACGACAGCGGGAGAGGAAGGGGTTAATCACTGCCAGACTACTGGGGGCACAGACGGCTCAAGGAGAGATCCTCACCTTCCTTGATGCCCACTGTGAGTGTTCCAGCACACACTGCAAACCATAGAATTAGGAATTAGAATACAATTTTAGTAATTTAATAGGATCTGTAAACGGCAGACCTTGTCAGGAAGGGCTGTCTTCTTGCAGGAAGCTCCTGGCACTTTCTTCTCTTGACAGCTGATCAACTATTTTATACTACTCCTAAGCAGCAGCAGCAGCAGCATCAAAGCCCCTTCTTAGATCTGACATTTGAAATTGTCATCACATAAGTCAGTTAAAAGAAACTGAAGATGATTGAGGGAATATATTAATATGATATGCCTGTTTGTGTGTCTCTCTTTTTCATCCCTGGTTAGGTGAGTGCTTCAATGGCTGGCTGGAACCCCTCCTGGCTCGGATAGTGGAGAAGCCCACTGCCGTGGTCAGCCCTGAGATTGTCGTCATCGACCAAAACAACATGAAGTTCACCAAACCCCTTGCCACAGCTCGTGCACATAACCGTGGAAACTTTGACTGGAGCCTCATCTTTGGGTGGGAGCAGATCCCTGAGAAAGACAAAAAGCAACGCAAGAATGAAACGTATCCTGTCAGGTACTTTATACACACACACTCACTTGTGAATTGATGTCATACTGAACATAAATATACTGTCTACTCCTAGGACTCCTACCTTTGCCGGTGGTCTGTTCTCTATTTCTAAGACTTACTTTGAGCACATCGGGACCTACGACGACAAGATGTTGATCTGGGGAGGTGAGAATGTGGAGATGTCCTTCAGGGTAAGTTATGCAGAATGTGGAAGGGCAGGAAGTACATCAACAATCATGTTGGCCTGACTGATGTTGGTGGTTAATGTAGACTTTAGCCCTCTGCTGGTCAAAGCAGACACTGCTTCGTTCTGTACTCTGATTCCCTTCATGGTTACTTCCTGTCTTCCCAAGGATACTTTTATTTTGTCACTGTTGCGCCAAGCTTGTGCCTCAGCCATTCAGTCCATGCCCTTTTCTGTGTCTACTCCAGTGACCTGGAATACCCTGTGTGATGTATTGTAGGTGTGGCAGTGTGGAGGCCAGCTGGAGATTATACCCTGTTCAGTGGTGGGACATATATTCCGCAGTAAGAGCCCTCACACCTTCCCCAAAGGCACGTCTGTGATAACCCGCAACCAGGTGCGCCTAGCTGAGGTCTGGATGGAAGACTACAAGCAGATCTTCTACCGCAGGAACAAGAAGGCTGCCACCATTGCCAAAGAGGTTGGGAATAGTGTCCCCTCACAAAATGTTTTACACATGACACTAATGTTCTCACACTGTTAGTTACACATCGCTCTTCTGTGTAAAGAGTGGTATTGTACTGTAGCCTGCATTATTGTTTACATAATGTAAAAATGACACCTCGCCATCATTGTTTTAATGTTATTCTTCCTGTTCACTCAGAACACATATGGTGACATCTCCGAACGCCTCAAACTCAAAGAGAAGCTAAACTGCAAAAACTTTACATGGTACTTGCACAACGTTTACCCAGAGGCCTATGTTCCAGACCTCACCCCTGTCATGTTTGGAGCGGTAATGTTATTTAATTAACTTTCATTAGAAATTGGGTTGTCAGTTTATAAATACTCATTCACTTTTTTATTTGTATTCTGCAAAAATTATATTTTATCAGCTCAAGAACTCCGGCTCAAAGACTTGCCTGGATGTGGGAGAAAAGAATAAGGGTGGGAAACCGGTTATCTTATACACATGCCACAACATGGGAGGAAACCAGGTACTTTAATCTAAATATAAACTGGGTGGTTCGAGCCCTGAATGCTGATTGGCTGACAGCCGTAGTATATCAGACCATATACCACGGGTATGACAAACATTTTATTTTTACTGCTCTAATTACGTTGGTAACCCGTTTATAATCGCAATAAGGCACCTCTGGGGTTTGTGGTATATGGCCAATATACCACGGCTAAGGGCTGTATCCAGGCACTCTGTAATTGGCCATATACCACACCCCCTCAGGCCTTATTGCTTAAATATACAATATGCAGAGCCGTGTGTGCACGTTTATAATTGCCACACAGATTTTTTTCTAACAGAACATTTCTGTGTGTAGTATTTTGAGTACACATCCCACCAGGAGCTTCGTCACAACACAGGTAAGCAGCTGTGTCTACAAGCGACCCCCGGGGTGGCGCTGGTGTCCATAAACTTCTGCCGCCTGAAGGGCAAAGGAACTACAGTGGCCCCCGAGCAAGTGTGGCATTTCACACCGGTACGTAACCATGACATTGTAAACTGTCAACATATATATATTTTATCGGTTCATTAGTTTCACATTTACACTCTAATAATAAATATCTTCTCCACTGCTCTGGAAGTGTTACTGCAGGTCTTGTACATGGGTTTGTTTCATATACAGTATGTGGAAACCATTTTTTCCTCTTCACAAGGACACATTACTGATTGAGGCTTGTATGTCATGCAACACAAGGACATTAACAACTTTACAGTATACACATGCTGTTACACACATTAGCTATGTTCATGCTGCACTGTTTTCAGGAGGCAAGTGCAGAACAGAGCATTGTGGTCACTTACAGCGCACAATAGCCTTTTATTGTTTTTATTTATTGTTCTTATTTGTGTGTGTGTGTGTGTGCGCGCACAGGGTTCTCTCCTAAAGAATCCCTCCTCGGGCAAATGCTTGACAGTAGACGGAGGTGAAGTGGTGATGAGTAACTGTGACTTGGCCAATCTCGGCCAACACTGGACCCTCAGCTGACCAATGGGATCCAGGGAGGAAGGAGGATCACTTAAATCATGCATTACATTTGGGAGATCTGCCCTTTTTGATGACAACACCTGTATCTATGAAATATGGGACCCTGCACCGTTTGACTCAGTATTTTGTGTTATTTCTTTATTTATTAAAAGGAGATGTTGAAAAGTTTGAGGCTTTTTAATATTTTATTGTAGAGGATCCCAATTAGATGAATTTGTAGAAGTTTCTGTTTTGACGTTTTATACACTTTAAAATTACATTGCGTTTGAAATTCTTTAATAATCACTAGGTCAAAGGGGAGATATATAAACAGCAAACAAAGAAAGGTCCTCTCACTGTCAACTGTCAACTGCGTTTATTTTCAGCAAACTTAACATGTGTAAATATTTGTATGAACATAAGATTCAACAACTGCGACATAAACTGAACAAGTTCCACAGACGTGACTAACAGAAATTTAATAATGTGTACCTTAACAAAGGGGGGGTCAAAATCTAAAGTAACAGTCAGTATCTGGTGTGGCCACCAGCTGCATTAAGTACTGCAGTGCATCTCCTCCTCATGGACTGCACCAGATTTTCCAGTTCTTGCTTGTGAGATGTTACCCCACTCTTCCACCAAGGCACCTGCAAGTTCCCAGACATTCTGGGGGGAATGGCCCTAGCCCTCACCCTCCGATCCAACAGGTCCCAGATGTGCTCAATGGGATTGAGATCCGGGCTCTTCGCTGGCCATGGCAGAACACTGACATTCCTGTCTTGCAGGAAATCACGCACAGAACGAGCAGTATGGCTCGTGGCATTGTCATGCTGGAGGGTCATGTCAGGATGAGCCTGCAGGAAGGGTACCACATGAGGGAGGAGGATGTCTTCCCTGTGATGCACAGTGTTGAGATTGCCTGCAATGACAACAAGCTCAGTCCGATGATGCTGTGACACACTGCCCCAGACCATGACGGACCCTCCACCTCCAAATCGATCCCCCTCCAGAGTACAGGCCTCAGTGTAACGCTCATTCCTTCGACGATAAACGCAAATCCGACCATCACCCCTGGTGAGACAAAACCGCGACTCGTCACTGAAGAGCACTTTTTGCCAGACCTGTCTGGTCCAGCGACAGTGCGTTTGTGCCCATAGGCGACGTTGTTGCCGGTGATGTCTGGTGAGGACCTGCCTTACAACAGGCCTACAAGCCCTCAGTCCAGCCTCTCTCAGCCTATTGCGGACAGTCTGAGCACTGATGGAGGGATTGTGCGTTCCTGGTGTAAATCGGGCAGTTGTTGTTGCCATCCTGTACCTGTCCCGCAGGTGTGATGTTCGGATATACCGATCCTGTGCAGGTGTTGTTACCCGGGGTCTGCCACTGTGAGGATGATCAGCTGTCCATCCTGTCTCCCTGTAGCGCTGTCTTAGGCGTCTCACAGTACGGACATTGCAATTTATTGCCCTGGCCACATCTGCAGTCCTCATACCTCCTTGCAGCATGCCTAGGGCACGTTCACGCAGATGAGCAAGGACCCTGGGCATCTTTCTTTTGGTGTTTTTCAGAGTCAGTAGCAAGGCCTCTTTAGTGTCCTAAGTTTTTGTAACTGTGACCTTAATTGCCTACCATCTGTAAGCTGTAAGTGTCCACAGGTGCATGTTCATTGTTTATGGTTCATTGAACAAGCATGGGAAACTATGTTCAAACCCTTTACAATGAAGATCTGTAAAGTTATTTGGAATTTGACTAATTATCTTTGAAAGACAGGGTCCTGAAAAAGGGACATTCCTTTTTTTGCTGAGTGTGTGTGTGTGTATATGTACATATGTATATATGTGTGTGTGTGTATATATGTACAGGTGTGTGTGTGTGTGTGTGTGTGTGTATAGATGTACAGATGTGTGTGTGTGTGTGTGTGTGTGTATATATATATATATATATAGATAGATAGATAGATAGATAGATAGATAGATAGATATCTCAGTGAGGGGAAAAAAGTATTTGATCCCCTGCTGATTTTGTACGTTTGCCCACTGACAAAGAAATGATCAGTCTATAATTTTAATGGTAGGTTTATTTGAACAGTGAGAGACAGAATAACAACAAAACAATCCAGAAAAACGCATGTCAAAAATGTTATAAATTGATTTGCATTTTAATGAGGGAAATAAGTATTTGACCCCCTCTCAATCAGAAAGATTTCTGGCTCCCAGGTGTCTTTTATACAGGTAACGAGCTGAGATTAGGAGCACACTCTTAAAGGGAGTGCTCCTAATCTCAGTTTGTTACCTGTATAAAAGACACCTATCCACAGAAGCAATCAATCAATCAGATTCCAAACTCTCCACCATGGCCAAGACCAAAGAGGTCTCCAAGGATGTCAGGGACAAGATTGTAGACCTACACAAGGCTGGAATGGGCTACAAGACCATCGCCAAGCAGCTTGGTGAGAAGGTGACGACAATAGTTGGTGCGATTATTTGCAAATGGAAGAAACACAAAATAACTGTCAATCTCCCTCGGCCTGGGACTCCATGCAAGATCTCACCTCGTGGAGTTGCAATGATCATGAGAACGGTGAGGAATCAGCCCAGAACTACACGGGAGGATCTTGTCAATGATCTCAAGGCAGCTGGGACCATAGTTACCAAGAAAACAATTGGTAACACACTATGCCGTGAAGGACTGAAATCCTGCAGCGCCCGCAAGGTCCCCCTGCTCAAGAAAGCACATATACAGGCCCGTCTGAAGTTTGCCAATGAACATCTGAATGATTCAGAGGAGAACTGGGTGAAAGTGTTGTGGTCAGATGAGACCAAAATGGAGCTCTTTGGCATCAACTCAACTCACCGTGTTTGGAGGAGGAGGAATGCTGCCTATGACCCCAAGAACACCATCCCCACTGTCAAACATGGAGGTGGAAACATTATGCTTTGGGGGTGTTTTTCTGCTAAGGGGACAGGACAACTTCACCGCATCAAAGGGACGATGGACGGCGCCATGTACTGTCAAATCATGGGTGAGAACCTCCTTCCCTCAGCCAGGGCATTGAAAATGGGTCGTGGATGGGTATTCCAGCATGACAATGACCCAAAACACACGGCCAAGGCAACAAAGGAGTGGCTCAAGAAGAAGCACATGAAGGTCCTGGAGTAGCCTAGCCAGTCTCCAGACCTTAATCCCATAGAAAATCTGTGGAGGGAGCTGAAGGTTCGAGTTGCCAAACATCAGCCTCGAAACCTTAATGACTTGGAGAAGATCTGCAAAGAGGAGTGGAACAAAATCCCTCCTGAGATGTGTGCAAACCTGGTGGCCAACTATATGAAACGTCTGACCTCTGATTGCCAACAAGGGCTTTGCCACCAAGTACTAAGTCATGTTTTGCAGAGGGGACAAATACTTATTTTCCTCATTTAAAATGCAAATCAATGTATAACATTTTTGACATGCGTTTTTTCTGGATTTTATTTATTTATTCTGTCTCTTACTGTTCAAATAAACCTACCATTAAAATTATAGACTGATCATGTCTTTGTCAGTGGGCAAACGTACAAAATCAGCAGGGGATGAAATACTTTTTTCCCTCGTGTATATACAGCTGCGGAAAAAATTAAGAGACCACTGCAAAATTATCAGTTTCTCTGGTTTTACTATTTATAGGTATGTGTTTGGGTAAAAATAAAATGTTTGTTTTATTCTATAATCTACTGACAACATTTCTCCCAAATTCCAAATAAAAATATTGTCATTTAGAGCATTTATTTGCAGGAAATGACAACTGGTCAAAATAACAAAGATGCAGTGTTGTCAGACCTCGAATAATGCAAAGAAAATAAGTTAATGTTAATTTTTAAACACAACAGTAATGTTTTAACGTAGGAAGAGTTCAGAAATCAATATTTGGTGGAATAACCCTGATTTTCAATCACAGCTTTCATGCGTCTTGGCATGCTCTCCACCAGTCTTTCACATTGATTTTGGGTGACTTTATGCCACTCCTGGCGCAAATATTCAAGCAGCTCGGCTTTGTTTGATGGCTTGTGATCATCCATCTTCCTCTTGATCACATTCCAGAAGTTTTCAATGGGGTTCAGGTCTGGAGATTGGGCTGGCCATGACAGGGTCTTGATCTGGTGGTCCTCCATCCACACCTTGATTGACCTGGCTGTGTGGCATGGCACATTGTCCTGCTGGAAAAACCAATCCTCAGTGTTGGGGAACAATGTCAGAGCAAAAGGAAGCAAGTTTTCTTCCAGGACAACCTTGTACGTGGCTTGATTCATGCGTCCTTCACAAAGACAAATCTGCCCGATTCCAGCCTTGCTGAAGCACCCCCAGATCATCACCGATCCTCCACGAAATTTCACAGTGGGTGCGAGACACTGTGGCTTGTAGGCCTCTCCAGGTCTCCGTCTAACCATTAGACGACCAGGTGTTGGGCAAAGCTGAAAATTGTACAAATACATTTAAACTCAGTTTTTCACAATTCCTGACATTTAATCCTAGTAAAAATGCCTTGTCTTAGGTCAGTTAGGATCACCACTTTATTTTAAGAATGTGAAATGTCAGAATAATAGCAGAGATTTATTTCAGCTTTTATTTCTTTCATCACATTCCCAGTGGGTCAGAAGTTTACATACACTCAATTAGTATTTGGTAGCATTGCCTTAAACAATTTAAACTTGGGTCAAACATTTCAGGTAGCCTTCCACAAGCTTCCCACAATAAGTTGGGTGAATTTTGGCCCATTCCTCCTGACAGAGCTGGTGTAACTGAGTCAGGTTTGTAGGCCTCCTTGCTCGCACATGCTTTTTCAGTTCTGCCCACACATTTTCTATAGGAATGAGGTCAGGGCTTTGTGATGGCCACTCCAGTACCTCGACTTTGTTGTCCTTAAGCCATTTTGCCACAACTTTGGAAGTATGCTTGGGGTCATTGTCCATTTGGAAGACCCATTTGCGAACAAGCTTTAACTTCCTGACTGATGTCTTGAGATGTTGCTTCAATATATACACATA